AAATCCCCCCCCTGCTTAAGTTCCCCCCCTGTTTAAATTCTGCCCCCCATAGCCAAGCCTTTTTTTTTATTCTTTTTTTTTCTTTTTTCCTCTTTCAGATTGGGGTTCTGTTTTACCTTGGTGATTCATTGTTGTTGACCCTTTTATATTTTTATTTTTCCTAATAAATCTTTTATTTTTCTAATTTTATTTTATTCTTTATACTTTGTTAGTGATCTCTCCTTTTGGCTTGTCGCCCCCCCCTCCCACCCCTTTTCTTTTTCTTTTTTCTGGTGTGCTTTTATTTTACCTTGTTGCAATTCTTTCAATTATAGTTTTATTTTTCCTAATACATTTTTTATCTTTCTAATTTTATTTTGTTTTCTATTCTTTGATATTGTACTGCTCCTTTTTTTCTTTCTAGCTTCCTTTTTTTTTTTACTACGCCATAAAGCTTGTGGGATCTTGGTTCCCAGGCCAGAGGTCAGACAACGAGTTCCTGTGGTGGGAACTCCGAGTCCAAACCGCTGGACTAACAGAGAACCTCAGACCCCAAGGAATATTAATCAGAGTGAGGCCTCCCAGAGGTCCTCATCTCAGCACCAAGACCCAGCTCTATCCAAATGCCTGCAGACTCCAGTGCTGGACGTCTCAGGCCAAACAACCAGTAAGACAGGAGTACAGCACCACCCATCAAAAAGAAAATAAAAAAAAAAATACATTACAGACAAAGGAGCAAGGTAAAAACTTACAAAACCAAATAAATGAAGATGAAATAGGCAACCTACCTGAAAAAGAATTCAGAGTAATGATAGTAAGATGATCCAAAATCTTGGAAACAGAACAGAGAAAATACAAGAAACATTTAACAAGGATCTAGAACAACTAAAGAGCAAACAAACAGTGATGAACAACACAATTACGGAAATTAAAAATACTCTAGAAGGAATCAATAACAGAATAACTGAGGCAGAAGAACAGATAAGTGAGCTGGAAGATAAAATGGTGGAAAAGACTGCCAGGGAGCAGAATAAAGAAAAAAGAATGAAAAGACTTGAGGACAGTCTCAGAGACCTCTGGGACAACATTAAATGCACCAACATTCAAATTATAGGGGTCCCAGAAGAAGAGAAAAAGAAAGGGTCTGAGAAAATATTTGAAGAGATTATAGTTGAAAACTTCCCTAACATGGGAAGGGAAATAGTCAAGTCCAGGAAGCACAGAGAGTACCATAAAGGATAATCCCAAAGAGAAACATACTGAGACACATATTAATCAAACTATCAAAAATTAAATGCAAAGAAAAAATATTAAAAGCAACAAGGGAAAAGCAACAGATAACATACAAGGGAATCCCCATAAGGTTAACAGCTGGACTTTCAGCAGAAACTCTGCAAGCCAGAAGGGAGTGGCAGGGCATATTTAAAGTGATGAAAGGGAAAAACCTAAAACCAAGATTATTCTACCCAGCAAGGATCTCATTCAAATTCAATGGAGAAATTAAAATCTTTACAGAGAAGCAAAAGTTAAGAGAATTCAGCACCACTAAACCAGCTTTACAACAAATGCTAAAGGAAATTATCTAGGCAGGAAACACAAGAGAAGGAAAAGGCCTACAAATACAAACCCAAAACAATTAAGAAATGGTAATAGGAACATACATATTGATAATTACCTTAAGTGTAAATGGATTAAATTCAGATTGGCTGAATCGATACAAAAACGAGACCTGTACATATGCTGTTGACAAGAGACCCACTTCAGACCTAGGGACACATACAGACTGAAAGTGAGGGGATGGAAAAAGATATTCCATGCAAATGGAAATCAAAAGAAAGCTGGAGTAGCAATTCTCATATCAGACAAAATAGACTTTAAAATAAAGGCTATTAGAAGAGACAAAGGACACTACATAATGATCAAGGGATCAATCCAAGAATATGTAACAATTGTAAATATTTATGCACCCAACATAGGAACACCTCAATACATAAGACAAATGCTAATAGCCATAAAGGGGAAATTGACAGTAACACAATAATAGTGGGAGACTTTAACACCCTACTTTCACCAATGGACAGATCACCCAAAATGAAAATACATAAGGAAACACAACCTTTAAATGACACATTTGACAAGATGGATTTAATTGATATTTATAGGACATTCCATCCAGAAACAACAGAATACACTTTCTTCTCAAGTGCTCATGGAACATTCTCCAGGATAGAACATATCTTGGGTCACAAATCAAGCCTTGGTAAATTTAAGAAAACTGAAATCGTGTCAAGTATCTGTTCTGACCAAAACGTTATGAGACTAGATATCAATTACAGGACAAAAACTGTAAAACATATAAACACATGGAGGCTAAACAGCACACTACTAAATAACCAAGAGATCACTGAAGAAATCAAAGAGGAAATCAAAAAATACCTAGAAACAAATGGCAATGAAAACACTACGACCCAAAACCTATGGGATGCAGCAAAAGCAGTTCTAAGACGGAAGTTTAGAGCAATACAAGCCTACCTCAAGAAACAAGAAACATCTCAAATAAACAACCTAACCTTACACCTAAAGCAATTAGAAAAAGAACAATAACAACAACAAAAAACCCCCCCCAAAGTTAGCAGAAGGAAAGAAATCATAAAGATCAGATCAGAAATAAAAGAAAAAGAAATGAAGGAAACAATAGCAAAGATCAATAAATCTAAAAGTTGGTTCTTTGAGAAGATAAGCAAAATTGATAAACCATTAGCCAGACTCATTAAGCAAAAAAGGGAGAAGACTCAAATCAACAGAAGTAGAAATGAAAAAGGGGAAGTAACAAGTGACACTGCAGAAATACAAAGGATCATGGGAGATTACTACAAGCAACTATATGCCAATTAAAATGGATAACCTGGAAGAAATGGACAAATTCTTTGAAAAGCACAACCTTCTTAGACTGAGCCAGGAAGAAATAGAAAATATAAACAGACCAATCACAAGCACTGAAATTTAAACTGTGATTAAAAAATCTTCCAACAAACAAAAGCCCAGGACCAGATGGTTTCACAGGAGAATTCTATCAAACATTAAGAGAAGAGCTAACACCTATCCTTCTCAAAGTCTTCCAAAATACAGCAGAGGGAGGAACACACCTAAACTCATTCTACATGACCACCATCACCCTGATACCAAAACCAGACAAAGATGTCACAAAAAAAGAAAACTACAGACCACTATCTCTGATGAACATAGATGCAAAAATCCTCAACAAAATACTAGCAAACAGAATCCAACAGCATATTAAAAGGATCATACACCATGATCAAGTGGGGTTTATCCCAGGAATGCAAGGATTCTTCAATATATGCAAATCAATCAATGTGATACACCATATTAACAAATTGAAGGAGAAAAACCATATGATCATCTCAATAGATGCAGAAAAAGCTTTTGACAAAATTCAACACCCATTTATGATAGAAACTCTCCAGAAAGTGGGCATAGAGGGAACCTACCTCAACATAATAAAGGCCATATATGACAAACCCACAGCCAACATCGTTCTCAGTGGTGAAAAACTGAAACTTTTTCCACTAAGATCAGGAACAAGACAAGGTTGCCCACTCTCACCACTATTATTCAACATTGTTTTGGAAGTTTTAGCCACAGCAATCAGAGAAGAAAAAGAAATAAAAGAAATGCAAATCGGAAAAGAAGAAATAAAACTGTCACTGTTTGCAGGTGACATGATACTATACTTAGAGAATCCTAAAGAAGCTACCAGAAAACTACTAGAGCTAATCAATGAATTTGGTAGAGTAGCAGGATACAAAATTAATGCACAGAAATCTCTGGCATTCCTATACACTAAGGATGAAAAATCTGTAAGGGAAATTAAGGAAACACTCCCATTTACCACTGCAACAAAATGAATAAAATACGTAGGAATAAACCTACCTAAGGAGATAAAAGACCTGTATGCAGAAAACTCTGAGACACTGATGCAAGAAATTAAAGATGACACAAACAGATGGAGAGATATACCATGTTCTTGGACTGGAAGAATCAATAGTGTGAAAATGACTATATCACCCAAAGCAATCTACAGATTCAATGCAATCTCTATCAAACTACCAATGGCATTTTCCACAGAACTAGAACAATAAATTTCAAAATTTGTATGGAAACATAAATGACCCCAAATAGCCAAAGCAATCTTGAGAAAGAAAAATGGACCTGGAGGAATCAGGCTCTCAGACTTCTGTATACTACAAAGCTATAGTAATCAAGACAGTATGGTACTGGCACAAAAACAGAAATATAGATCAATGGCACAGTATAGAAAGCCCAGAGATAAACCCATACACATAGGGTTACCTTATCTTTGATAAAGTAGGCAAGAATATACAATGGAGAAAAGACAGTCTCTTCAATAAGTGGTGCTGGGAAAACTGGACAGGTACATGTAAAAGAATGAAATTAGAACACTCCCTAACACCATACACAAAAATAAACTCAAAATGGATTAGAGACCTAAATGTAAGGACAGGCACTATAAAACTCTTAGAGGAAAATATAGGCAGAAGACTCTATGGCATAAATTACAGCAAGATCCTTTTTGACCCACCTCCTAGAGAAATGGAAATAAAAACAAACAAATGCGAACTATGAAACTTAAAAGCTTTTGAACAGCAAAGGAAACCATAAATAAGATGAAAAGACAACCCTCAGAATGGGAGAAAGTATTTGCAAACGAAGCAACTGACAAAGGATTAATCTCCAAAATATACAAGCAGCTCATGTAGCTTAATATCAAAAAAAAAACAAACAACCCAATCCAAAAATGGGCAGAAGACCTAAACAGACATTTCTCCAAAGAAGATATACAGATTGCCAACAAACACATGAAAGGATGCTCAACAGCACTAATCATTAGAGAAATGCAAATCAGAACTACAATGAGGTATCACCTCACACCGATCAGAATGGCCATCATCAAAAAATCTACAAACAATAAATGCTGGAGAGGGTGTGGAGAAAAGGGACCCTCTTGCACTGTTGGTGGGAATGTAAATCAGTACAGCCACTATGGAGAACAGTATGGAGACTCCTTAAAAAACTAAAAATAGAAGTACCATGTGACCCAGCAATCCCACTACTGGGCATATACCATGAGAAAACCATAATTCGAAAAGAGTCATGTATCCCAATGTTCATTGCAGCTCTATTTACAATAGCCAGGACATGGAAGCAACCTAAGTGTCCATCGACAGATGAATGGGTAAAGAAGATGTGGCACATATATACAATGGACTATTACTCAGCCATAAATAGAAACGAAATTGAGTTATTTTTAGTGAGTTGGATGGACCTAGAGTCTCTCATACAGAGTGAAGTAAGTCAGAAAGAGAAAAACAAATACCGTATGCTAACACATATATATGGAATCTAAAAAGAAAAAAAAAGGTTCTGATGACCCTAGGGGCAGGACAGGAATAAAGACACAGACATAGATAATGGACTTGAGGATATGGGGAGGGGGAAGGGTAAGCTGGGACATATATATACTACCAAATGTAAAATAGATAGCTAGTGGGAAGCAGCTGCATGGCACAGGGAGTTCAGCTCCGTGCTTTGCGACCACATAGATGGGTGGGATAGGGAGGGTGGGAGGGAGATGCAAGACAGAGGGGATATGGGGATATACGTATGCATATAGCTGATTCACTTTGTTTTACAGCAGAAACTAACACAACACTGTAAAGCAATTATATTCCAATACAGATGTTAAAAAAAAATAAACTGCCGCTCAGCTGCAGGAGTAATCTTCTGCATATTTAGATTGTTACACACTCATGAAACGGAAGATGATGGAGTTAGGAAAAGACACCTACCATTGAACATGCTATTGGCAATAGCACCACAAGGAGCGATGGGGATCCCATTGTGGGAGGTTTTGAATGGAGCACAGTTTCTAACATCCTGGATGAGAAATGATACAGGAATGAGTGCTTTTGGTAAAATCTCTTAAAATGCTGGAAGTGAAAATACTGGCAGTGTAAATGAACCCATGCTGATCCACTGGCACAGATCGAGATTATGGGCTGCTACCTGCTGTTCCCAGGCTGCTGGCTGACCTAGACTAGAAAATTTTTGTTTTTTGGAGATATGTATGTGTGTACGTGCACGTGTGTGTAGTTTCTTTCCTCATTAACAGTATATAGCATGCCAAATATGTCTGCAGGAAGAAATTTTACTTTGCTTGCTGTGCTAAATACCACACTAAGCCCACAGTGGAATATATTTTTAAAAGGTTTTTCTTATTGGAGTGTAACTTATATTCTAAAAAGTATATAAATTGTGATTCTACAGTTGGATGACTTATCACAGGGAAATCCACCCACCTAACTACAAGAATACATTTTAAAAAGAGTGGCTGCTTAAAACCATTTGGTTATCCCTTTTATATAATGCCAGTATAGAAAAGGTTTCCTTCTAGCTTTTCTTGCCAGCTTGCTGAATATCATTTACCAAGAGTTAAATTTTGTAATCTTAGGTCTGAAAGAATATTCATTAAACCAAAGGCTTTTATTCAATCAAGTAGAGCCCAGTTTCCTTAAACTAGGCTGACTGAAGCCCCCAGTTATAAAAAGGACAATGGTAGATATAGAGTGAACTAGGCTGAGACCAATCACTCAAGGTTACTATCAAAATGGTTGGTGCATCCATCAACTAAAATGAGCAACTTTAAAGATAACTACAGAAATTAAGTATGAGAAAATAATGTTGAAATCTAATTGATGTGTCAGTCATTCAAAGAAGCAAAAAACTCTACTTTTTGAAGCAGCTCCAGTATGCCATCAACTTTATTAAGAGAAACATAAATCCTGAATTGTGGTTGAAAGGTACTTGAAGATTTGCCCTTCTGACACATTCATTATTACCAAGACTTGGGCAGTCCAATATGTATCTGGTTTTAATATAAAATGCTGTCAAATAAAAAAATGGTTGGTGCATGAAAGGCTAAACATCTAATTGGACAAGATTCACATTCCTGCACTGAAGAGTGAAAGGAGCAGTTATCCTGAATACTCAGCCCCTTCAGTGCATGCAAGAATGAAATGAGCATTTCTGTCTTGTAAAAACTTAGCTTTTGAGTTTATTTTCCATACTGTCTTTTAGACTGAAAGATCCATCTGGCTTAAAAAAAAAAAAAAAAAAAAGAGTATTATACCAAGTTAAATAAAGCCTTACCTTTACGTCTGTACCCACCAGTTGGCTATTACTTCTGGATAGAATATATCGATAGAGGTTCTGATAGAAGCCATACAATTTGTAGTACATATAAACATTACCCTGTAGAGGAGAACAGCAAGATGTAAGAAGAGAGAAAAATAAACTGAGATATTAATAAACACGGACAGGAGTTTTAAAATATAAGAAGTAGTACCAAAAAATATTGATGTGAACTGAAAGTTTCTTTATATCAGATAGAAACCCAAGAAATTATTTTTAAAAATCAGTATTGGAAAATCCTGGTCTATACAAAATTATTAAAATGACTACATAACTTATTTTTAATGTTTTTGTAAGGGTTACCACATTCCTGCCTTGAAAAAAATTTATAACTAGCCTTTGTATTCTCAATATATAAAATTTGATTTCACAAATATTTCCCAGCAATACTAGGAAAGATGCTTTGCCTAGGGGTTGTGGTAAGCATCAAATTCACATGGTCTCAAAGCAGATCCATGAAACACAATTTAAAATTGGAGCCACTGAGCATGTTTGGGCGCATGTTCATAATTGCCCATGTGAAAGACATAAGCCCAGCTCCTTGGTGTCCAGCTCCGGTGTTGTCTTTTTATCACTAGGCTCTAGCACAGTACTGTGGCATATTATACTTGGTTAAGAAGTGGTGAACCATTTGTTATGGACAAAAAGATGGAATAGTTCACTGATCTAGAAGAAAGGTGGTTTTCACCTCAGCAATAAGTAGCCTTGTGGCCATGAGAGATGGGCCTTTTCATGGATTTTGCCGAATGAGGCTGCCCAATCACGGGCTACCATTGTACTTCTTACATGCATGGTGAAATACCAAGGCCCTAGAACTTCTCCTTTTTTTTTTTTTTTTTAAATTTGTATTTATTTATTTATTTATTTTTGTCTGCATTAGGTCTTCATTACTGCGTGAGGGCTTTTCTCTAGTTGCGGCGAGCGGGGGCTACTCTTCGTTGTAGTGTGCAGCCTTCTCATTGCGGTGGCTTCTCTTGTTGCAGATCACGGGCTCTAGGAGTGTGGGCTTCAGTAGTTGTGGCATGTGGGCTCAGTAGTTGTGGTTCACGGGCTCTAGAGCACAGGCTCAGTAGTTGTGGCACACGGGCTTAGTTGCTCCGTGGCTTGTGGGATCTTCCCAGACCATGGCTCAAACCCGTGTCCCCTGCATTGGCAGGTGAATTCTTAACCACGGCGCCACCAGGGAAGCCCCCTAGAACTTCTCCAAGTGGGCTTGATACAGATTTTACTAACAGCACATATGATGCAAATGTAAATGTCCAAGGTAGCTATTTATAATTAATATTCTATCTACCTCCAAAATAATGAAGGTATGCATCTAAAAATATGAAGGCCTAAATTTTATTAAGTGCCTCCCATATGTCAGGTGCTATGTTCAGTGCTAGAAATACAAAAGTATTACTTTACAGTTCCCTGAGTCAACTGATTCTTTTATGCTATGCAAATTTGGCCTCGCCCTAAGGACCTTTAAGAGGATGAGTATGGAAGATGGGAGCTGGTACCCAGGTTAGGCTGAAAATAAAGGTCACGGTAAGTGTGACCAGTTACAGAAAACAAAGGCTGAAGAGCTTAGTCCCTGGTAAGAGAAAAGCCTCTGGAACACTGAGAAAGGGAGATGCTGGGGCCTAAGAGGTGGGCTGCAACATCGTAAACAGAGAGCATGAATGTGAAGGTGAACAAGCCAGGCATAGCAGGAATGACAGATTGTATTTCCTCACCAAAGGAGGGAACCTCTACTGATGACCCATAACTACAGAAAATAGGAAATCCATGGAATGGAACTTACCATACATTTTCTTGGAAGCTAAAAAGAGCATTCTACTTACCCAAAGTTATATACTCATATAAACATGACAAAATAAATAGAGAACACTCACATGCTGGGGACAGAAGTGTTTTAATAAACTTTTTTCAATAATTCTTTGTCCAAGATTTTACAAGGCCTCCAAGATCATCACCTTTTTGATTAGTCCTAGAGGCACAATGCACTTTATAGTGTTTCTTTTCTTCCATGGTACTTGGTACAGGATTCCTAGTTTAAGGCAGAGAGCCTTGCGTGGATTTGTCATCTAGCGTGTGTAATGTGTGTGAACTTGTGGGCAGAAGGCTCTGTGCTTGCCCTGAGTAGTTTGGTTAGATTTTTATGAGAAAGCCTTTGCCTCAAAGGAATGGTTAGCAGCTGGTAACACTTATTTGCCTTTAGGATTTCAAAGGACACAGACAGATGGGAACTTGAAGCCCTTTAAGGTTTTATCTTTTGGATTTCTTTTTCTTCAAAATTTTAAGCACCTTGTGCCTCCCAAGAAGGAACCAATCCTGCTGACACCTTGATTTCAGACTTCTGGTTTCTAGAATTGTGAGAAAATAAATATCTAATGTTTAAAGAAAAAAAAAAAGCAACACTAACTTTTACTTTGGCGGGGCAGCAATGGTGAGTTAAGGAAGGCAAGAAAGTACACAATTGTAGAGAACTAGAATTTTGACCTTTAACAAAAGAGCACAGATATAAAACTTCCCTCATGGGACTTTATATAGATATCACTTACAACTCAAGTACTACTCAGTAATTTTCTCATAATTTACATCAGACTTACAAAAATGATTAGAGATACAGATGTATTCAGAATATTACTGATGCTAACATGCTTTCATCTGGGATCAAGGGGGAAATAGGAAAGGGACACATAAAACCAAAGCTTCCTAGAGCATAAAGCAATATAATTTATCACTTTATCTTTTTTTCCATTCATTTAAAATTTCAGCAAACATTTTCTAAGCATCTACCACGTAAAATATACTGTGCTATGCCCCTGTGAAGGAAGCAAAGATTCTTATGTTCATTCAATAAACATTAATTGGGCAACTACAGGGTGTCAGGCATAGTTATAGGTGCTTGGGATACAATAGTGAGAGACAGACAATAAACAATACATATAATAAACTGTTAATTTATATAGTAAGTTGGAAGGTGATAAGTACTATGGAAAAAATGGAAATTACAGTAAGGTAATAAGAATCAGGAGTGCAGGTGTGAGGTGAGCAGACAGGATGAAGTATGAAATAGGATGGCTAGTGTAGGCCTGAGTAGGTGATGGCTGAGTCAAACAGGACCTGAAGGCAGCAGGGAGTTAGACGAGTGGATGTCAGGTACAGAGAAGAAGAGAATGCCTGACTTGTTTGAGGAATGAGGAGGCCAGTGTGGTCAGAGAGGGGGTGGGGAAGAGAATGGAGAGAGGAAGTTAGGAGGAAGTAAGAAGCCAGATCACATAGGCCTTGTAAGGACGTAGGCTTTTTCACTGAGTAGAAAGAGAAGCCATTGCAGGGATTTTTGAGCAAAGGAATAACATGATATGACTTATACTTTAAAACGTTCACTCTGGCTGCTCTATTGTGGCTGCTCTATTGAGACATGGATACAACAGGGAGACCTGATAGGAGGCTACTGTAGAAATCCAAGTGAGAGGTGAGGGTGGCATGGAGCTGGGTAGTAGCAGCAGAGGTGGGCAGAGGTGAGCAGACTCTGGATATATTTTGAATGTAGAACCAATAGGATGGATTGGATACAAGGTGTGAAAGAATGAAAGGAGTCAAGAATGACCCCTGGGCTTTTAGCCTGAGCACCAGAAGGACAGAGTTCTTTTCAACTGAGATCGTCTGTGGGTGGAATAGGGTTTTTCTGGGGATGTAAGTAAGGGGAAGAAGTGGATATTAGTTCAGTTTTAGAAACATTAAGCTGAGATAGAAAACAGAGAATTGGTAATCAATAGCATTTAAACCTAGGAGGTAGATGATGTTTCCAAGGAGGTGAGTGCATACGGAGAGGAGATGAAGACTGAAGGCTGTGACTAAAGCCCTGCAGATCTCCACATAAAGAGTTTGGAGAGGGCTTCCCTGGTGGTGCAGTGGTTGAGAGTCCACCTGCCGATGCAGGGGACACGGGTTCGTGCCCTGGTCTGGGAAGATCCCCCATGTCGCGGAGTGGCTGGGCCCGTGAGCCATGGCCGCTGAGCCTGTGCTCCGCAACGGGAGAGGCCGCGACAGTGAGAGGCCCGTGTACCACAAAAAAAAAAAAAAAGTTTGGGGAAAAAAGGGGGAAAAGCAAAGGAACCAAAGAAGGGCAGTCAGGGGCCTTCCCAGGGGGCGCAGTGCTTAAGAATCTGCCTGCCAGTGCAGGGGACATGGGTTTGAGCCCTGGTCCGGGAAGATCCTACATTGCCACGGAGCAACTAAGCCCATGCACACAACTACTGAGCCTGTGCTCTAGAGCCCGCAAGCCACAACTACTGAGCCTGTGCTCTAGAGCCCGCAAGCCACAACTACTGAGCCTGTGCTCTAGAGCCCGCAAGCCACAACTACTGAGCCTGTGCTCTAGAGCCCGCAAGCCACAACTACTGAGCCCACGTGCCACAACTACTGAAGCCCGCATGCCTAGAGCCCGTGCTCTGCAACAAGAGAAGCCCCCACTCGCCACAGGTAGAGAAAGCCCGTGAGCAGCAACGAAGACCCAACGCAGCCAAAAATAAAATAATTAATTAAAAAAAAAAAAAAAAAAAGGAGGGCAGCCAGAGAGCAAGGAGGACAACCAAGAGAGTAAGGTCTCCTGGAAGCCAAGAGAAGAAAACATGTCAAGGAGGAGGGAGTGATTGCCTGTGTCCAGTGTGTGACAAGGCACTGAGGATGGAGCACTGGATTTATCCACAAGGAAGTCACTGGTAACCTCGCAATTTCACTGAGTGTTAGGGCCATGGGTGGGTCTTTGAGAATGAGAAGAAAGGAATTGGAAATACCCAAGAGAGATGACTCCTCTGAGGAGTTTCCCTGCTAATGGGAGGAAAGAAATATGCAGATAGCGGGCAGGGAAATTTGGGAGAATAGAAGAGTGCTTTGTTTTTGTTTTTTAAAAGATAGGTCAAATAATATGTTTGTGTGCTGATGGGAATGATCCAGTAGAGAGAAAATTTGATGATACAGAAAGGTGACAACTGCTGAGTTAAGCCCTTATAAAGGCAAGAAAGGCTAGCATCTATCATAGAAGTGGAAAGGTGAGCCTTCAGATGGGAGCATGGGTGGTTCACCTGTGGTAACAGGTGGGAAGGTTAAGTATGTAGTGCAGATATGTCTGGACGTGTAGTTGTGTGGTGTAGCATGTAAAGCATGGTCCCTTTCCTCAGGGAGCTTCCTGTGAATAGAGGAAATGAGTCTACAGGATATTATATGGGCGATTGTAAGTCCATAAGAAGAGTTGAAACAGCGCTCTCAGGATACAAATGTGGGCAAATTCTTGCTGGAGACATGAGTGAAAAGGAGGCTCAAGGAAGTGTTTGGATATTAGTGGCTTAAAACAAGTGAGATCTTACAGGTGGGAGTGAGAGGGGAGACTTTCTAGGCAAAAGAACAGCAGGAACATAAAGAGTTGCATCATGGAAAAGAAAGTTGGTCAGTTTGGCAGGAGTACAAGGTCTCCTGCAAAGATAAAGATGAAAAGGTGGCTGGGCCTCAGGTGTTGAAAAGTAATCTGAAAGAGGGCACATTTTGGGGGACAGGGTGTGGTCTACTGATTTGGCAAATAACAATTGGCTAAAAGTAGGAGAAGCCAAAGGCTAGATGTGCAGTTAAGGTTGCTGTGATGCTAGATCAGGAGGGACTGAACTGGGGTGATGCCAAGAAAATGGAGTGAGAAAGTGGTTGGGAGAGACAGGGATTGCAGAACAGTAATCACACATCAGAGGTCTGGATGAGAAAGGAGTGGGCAGGGTAAAGTCAAGGAGGAAAATTTTGAGTCTCGGTGATGGGATCTTTCCCAGAAAGGGAAGTAAGGAGGGCTTTTCAGGAGATGACGATGAGTCTGGTATGGGGAGGAAGCAGGGCCTTGAGGATGGGATGTTCAGTGACAAGCTCAAGAGAAGGCCTGCCTGCACGTGAAACATCCCATGCAGAGTCATCTATGCAGGGGAAGCAGGGGAGACGGATCAGGTTAGGGAGGAGGTGCTATGGGAGGAGAGGTGCGGAGTCCAGAGGACAGGACAGGACCTTTGAAAAGTTTCAATTTTTTAAATAAATTTTTTAGTAAATTTATTGATTTAGTTATTTGGCTGTGCTGTGACTTTGTTGCTTGCGTGGGCTTTCTCTAGTTGCGGCGAGCGGGGGCTACTCTTCGTTGCGGTGCGTGGGTGTCTCATTGCGGTGGCTTCTCTTGTTGTGGAGCACAGGATCTAGGCTCAAGGGCTTCAGTAGTTGTGGCTCGCAGGCTCTACAGCACAGGCTCAGTAGTTGTGGCGCATGGGCTTAGTTGCTCTGTGGCATGTGGGATCTTCCCCGACCAGGGATTGAACCTGTGTCCCCTACATTGGCAGGCGGATTCTTAACCACTCCGCCACCAGGGAAGTCTCGTAATACATTTTCATTTGATTAAGTCTTTGCTACCTAGTAAGACTGTGGTGGCCCTGAAAAGGTGCCTCTTGATCTCCTACTGCAGGGAGCGTAATCGAGGGGTGGACGCGGCTGCTGTGCTCTGAGGTCATCCTATGTTTGCACCAAGGCCATGCTTCCCATTGCTGCTCCCAGACAACGGCTCAGCAACAGGGATACTGAGGCAAGGACTCCCTGTTGGGGTTGCTGAAACTTTCTTAAGAATACTCTGCAGTCTAAGACCTTTCTTCCCTCCTCCCCATCTCTCTACCCTCCTCTCCCTCTGTCCCTCCTTCCTTCCTACTCTGCTTCCCTCTCCTTCCCAGGGGTCAGAGCTGTGCTATGGTCTGACAGCTCTCCCAGCCTCCTCCAACTTCCTCCATATTTTCCCTTGCAGGCAGTTCCCCCAGTAAATCTCTGGCATGTCTAATCCTGTCTTGGCATCTGCTTCTCAGAGGACCTGGACTAACACGAGACTTTAATCAGTCCCAAAGCAGGGATGTCTCTTAATATTTCTTTGGCATCTCTCACAGTGCCTGGCAGCCAGGCCGAGAGTCGCCTTAGGGATTAGGCAACTGCATGTGTAGAATGACCAGGAGGGGAGGACAAAAGGAGTGTCCCAGGTATGTGACCTTTGACACTAACTCACTGTGTGACCTTGGCCAAGTCACTTAACCTCTCAACCCATTAATCTTCTCACTGTAAAATGAGTGGTTAGATTCAGTAATTTCTATGGTCCCCTCCTGTGTTGACATTTGGCATAGAACCTGTTTGATTGATGTTAAGAATTCTTACAAAGCTGGGTGGGTAAAGAATCTGGAAATTTAGACACAAGGAGAAGAATGAAATTCCAAAGAAAAAAAAGGGGGTGGGGGCGGAGAGTCGAACATGAACTCAATACTTTATAAGATCCCTGTCCCCCATTCCCACCCTGCGTTATTTCTTGTATTTTCAGTTTTGGAAAGCATTCGGTGGAGATCATGAATTTACTGCCACATGTTAAATAGGAGCAGAGCAGCGTATAGCCAATTGAAGGCTCTTGAATCTCACTTACCTTCATTGTCTCTGGGAGGAAAAAGGGAATAGAGCAGTTGCATTCTTTGTCAAAATTAGCGGCATTTTCCCGCAGTTTTGCACAATTTGCACATTTTTCTGTGTAATTAATCTGTCAGGCAGGGAAAATAATAATTATTAATTAAAAAGGGATGTGAGTACATATCTTAAAATTAAAGTCCTGAGTCCATCAAAGTCTCCAAATTTCTAGGTCAAGGGCGTGCTATCTGGGACATGAACCAAGGTCAGCTTTGCGGATGTGCGGGACGAGTGGGTCTCCTTACAGCCTTTCATTTTGGGACCCAGCTGCATTTTGCCACTTACCTGGAGTTCAGGGTTTCTACTACATATTTATGTAACCTGCTGTGATGAAGCCTTATGCCTCCATCATAAAAAGTTACCACTAGGAAAATATTAGTCAGTGACTCATGAGAACTGGGCCTGCAGCCTGAGTCTAATCAGCGTTATGGGAAAGTCACTTCACTGTTTTTCCATTTTATTGTATGGAAAATATTTATACTAGTGAATTATTCTACATGGTATCTAGAGGAAGTTTTTAAAAATGACCAAACATAGAAAAAAGAAATGTTTCCAAAACGTAGAGTTATCGATGTATGTGAAGCAATTGTTTTTAAAATGTTGTTATATTGTTTTTTAAAGTTAAGTTCTGTGCAAAATGGTATAAGTGGACTCTTTAACAAAGGGTAGTGTGTCCCGAATGGGCAAATCCTGTGAGCTCTGGCTCAAGGACTCAGTTATATGAAGACGGAGCTGGAAGGAGAGTGGGGAAGTGGGGCTCAGAGAGAGGCCACGAGGCTGTGCATTTCCCTTCCGCTCCAGGAAACACTCATCTCAGGCTCCCAGGGGTGGTTGTGAGGTCCTGCTGGTCGCTGCTGCTTTCTCCTCACTGTGTTGAGGAGTCATTAGAAAAGTCTGGGAATGGGAAAGGAACAGGGAAGCAAGGGACTGGCTTTCTCTTCAGTAAATTGCCAATGGGATTTTAGATTCTTTGGGAGAGAAGAGCAACAAGAAAGAAAGAAGGAATTTTCAATGCTTACAAAGCCCCTGGGTGTTTGGAAGTCAAAGAGGTAAAGTGTGGATACTAAATTAAAGATTAGCCAAAAGGCTACTTAATTGTACTTAGATGCTTATATTAAATCATTCTTTATGCAGCAAGCCTTGAACTATTATTTTTTAAAATACTGATGCCTTTTCTGTTAGTGACACTGCATTCTAATTTTTAAAAAGCATTAAAGAACAGGGCTGTACCTAATTGAGACCTATCAATAGCACACTGAACTGTGACTGAGGAAATGGGTGCTAGTTCAGCCAGTCTCTGATCCTGAGTTCCAGGGCCCACATTTTGTTCATCAGCATCATTTTGGCTAGCAATTAATTGATTTGTGAGGTCATTTTAGTAGTATACACACTACTCCATGGATTCTTGACAGAGTTCTATCAATGCCGAATTAGAAAAAAATGTCTTTCATGATCAAGTAATTTTTGAGTAGATGATATCCAAGGTGCTTTCTAGCTCTAAACATTTTATGAGGGAAACATGTCTTTGATCTACTGTCTACTTCTGCTGCTCAAACCTATAGCTCTAAAATGACAGCAAAGATCATAGTCTGGTCCTCATAGAATTTTGGAAGGCAGGAATTATGATTCTTGCTTAAAGTAAACTGCAAAAAGGGCACTTTCTCGTTGTGCCCCAGGGCTAAGTGAGAAGAGGAAAGCCAGCTCCGAGCTCTTCTACTAGGTGTGTGTTGACCACACTGGCCTGGGATACATCTTATACATCCTGATACATCCTGATACTCAGGATCAGAGACTGGCTGAACTAGCACCCATTTCCTCAGTCACAGTTCAGTGTGCTATTGATAGGTCTCAATTAGGTACAGCCCTGTTCTTTAATGCTTTTAAAAAATTAGAATGCAGTGTCACTAACAGAAAAGGCATCAGTATTTTTAAAAATAATAGTTCAAGTCTTGCTGCATAAAGAATGATTTAAGTAAATACGAGCATCTAAGTACATTAATCTTACCACCCATTACAACAAAACACTTCCATGTGCAAAAGAGGATCGGCCTCTGTGGGTGGTTTCTGATTTTCCTGTATAAAAGCAGTGTTAGAAACGGTCCTCTCTGAAGTGGCTTAAAAGAAAAGTCAATTGGAAAATCCCCTTAACATCATGATAAAATCATTCTGTTGAAAGTTGTTTGCAGAGTGGCCTTGGCTAACCATGGAGTGAGGTTCTCCTCACATCGCTAAGGTGACATCATTCAGCAATTGCTGTCTCTTAATGGAGGCTGCACTTCAAAGAGGGTGGGGATGGGTGACCAGAAGGGAGGAAGCTGGAAGGACATGGGAAGGGGAGGGGAAGAACCAGAAAGAAAGGGGTTGGTGAAGGAGAAAACAGAACAGTAAACAGGATGAACTTTATGGAAATGAATATAAACCTTGTAAGCCAATTACTTTGCTATTGCCTTCAACAAGGCAAGTTTACTTCCCTCCTGCCATTTTGCCTTTTTCACTTGGTGAGGCCTGGTGGTTTACATTACCACACTGGAGGACTCAAGAGGACTTAGGGGCACCTGCCAGGAGCTGGGGGGGTGGGGTACAGAAAATTTCAGTGGAAAGGCAAGAGAGCAGTGTGTGTTGGTAGGAGGAGTGGGACCTGAAATGCAATTTTCTTCTTTGAAGTCCTCGCTATTTGCCGTAATCCGTTCTTTCAGTAAGTGTGTGCCTATTATGCACTGGCGACATGCAAGGAAGGGGTTGTGGATATGGCAAACAAGCCAGCCGTGGCTGAGCTCTCTGTTCTTAGCGCACACTACCTTACTTACTCTATCGTTAGCTCATTGAGGATGGAGTTCAACTCTTACAAACCTTACTCATCTACACACCCAGAAGAACTCTGAGCACCTTCAGACACTCATGAACGTTAAAACAGGGTTGACAGACTTGGCCTTCATGGTAATTTTGCCACTAGCCCACGTGAGGAGAGGAAATAGATGAGCTTTCCATGGCTGCCTTCAGAGTGGAGGTCATACGGTCTGGGATGTCGCATAACCTGCTCAGAGCTGATTTGCATGAAACATGTACTTAATTTATTAGACCAAATGCGGGCATGGCCTCAGACCAGATCAGAGCTCTCCCTCCCCAGACCAGCTACTGGGCTTCTCATCCTCCAACAGCTTGTTGTCAAATCAGCAAAAGGCTTGTAACTGAGGGGTTCACTGCTCAACTTCCTCTTTTCTCACTCTGAGTAGAACTTGGTTTATTTTGCTAAGTATCCTTTAGAGGCCAGAAAGATTTGTGTTCTTGCCTTTCCTGGATTAAAGCAGTGATCTCGGACGGAATTTATTTGCAAAGGGAAAGACACAATGCTTGAAATTGGGGCAAAATTAAGATCTACATCTTTGGCTCTTCGCTCTTTTTATCAATATGATTCACGGGTCCCTGGCAGTCATTTGGTCTTGCCTCTCCTCCCGCCTCTACCAGTCACTTGCTCGGTACTCTGCCAGCATAAAAAGCCCCGGACTTTGCCAGGCCCCTGTAAACAAAGGTGGCTGAACTGACCAGTGTGAGAGCAATTGTCTTCAAGAGGGAGAAGGGATGAACAAAGCCACCACATAGAGGCTCTTTCACCATCTGCACCTGCCAGCTGAAAAAGGGATGCTCCAGTCTCATCTACTTCCCTGTTGAGGGGCTAGGTTCTCAAACTGACCACTCTTTATAGTCCGAAAGCTGAAAATTCATAGAAATTGCATCCAAAAAGTGAGATGGGACACACCTCTACTTCCTTGATGGTCTTTGCAGACAGCAGAAGGATGACACCCACTCCAAGGCAGAACACGCCTGTGGCAAAAAAGCCGGAGAGGATTTTGTTGGCTGAGAGCTGTAGCCGGTAGGCGGGCAACTGCTGCTGCTTCACGGCACTGTTGTCTGGCAATCTGGACTGGCAGTCCTGGGATTTCCTCTTCATTGTGGTTCTGCGGGTGACCCAGATATACTTTGGAGACATTTATAACATTACTGCTCAGAGTAATACCACATAATGGTAATATTGAGAATTACATGAATCTTCCTTTGCACTCGCAAAGTCTTTCTGCTTTCTGGAATCATTTCTTAACCAGACCCGATTTCCACAGCTCCCTTCAATCAGCCATTGTTGGGTATGTTTTACGTAGGCTCAAAAAACTTGTTGTGCTAACTGCCATGCCTAGGAGGAAGAGTCTCCAGCAGATCTGTATAAACCAACATCTGGCAACACTGGGAAGCAGTTACAACGGGCTATTTCTTTCTAATTCAAGGCAACCCTTCCTGAAAGGGGGAAAATGGATTTATCCTTAAGAACTTGCCCAAATCCTTCATGATTAATACAAATAATAGAAGTGAGTGCTGTCAGCTTTTCCCAAATGTGGCTGTCCCTTAACGTGAATATAAACTAAGTTGGGAAAATGCTCTCAGATTACAGCTAACTTTGCTCTTTGTGATAATGAGGAAGGGAGAAGCAAACAGGAATTGCAGAACACAGATGACTAATCTCAGTAGTTTCCAATTTTTTCATCCATAAGAAAGGCTCTGGCAGAAAGTGTGGATGAAAAACATCTCCTAACCTTTCCTCAAGCACGCGCTTTGAAGTAGCCCAAATGATGCAAGAGAAAGGAAGAGCAAAACAGATAATCACCTAAATGTTCAATATTGCAATATGGTATTACTGGGTTTTTTTTTTCACTTATTAGAAATCCACTAACATCATTTTCATTACGCTATTAATAATTACTTCCTCTTCAAGATGCATTTAAGATGTAGGATTAGGATTTTAAAAAAATTAGGTAGCATGTGAGTTTCTAATTTTCCTTTTTCTATTAACATTCGGCAGAGAAGCCATATGTTGGACTATTTTTGTATTAAAGAAGACGATGACTTTGGCAAATCTACCTAATTTAAAAGAATACAAAACAAATGCAATTACTTACACTGGGAGGTTTCCAATTCAGAGTCAAAGCTTTCCCTTGCAAAACTGGAAAAAAAGCAGAACACCCATGGGGACTTTTCAGCAAGCCATTTGAATCTGCCTTGGAGGTGGTGACGAGTATGGCTGTTGGTATCAGACAGATCTGTGTGAGAAGACGGCAGTGAACACTCGTAGTTCATATCTACTATTTGTTTTATTAAATAAGCATGGTCAAGAACTTGAGTTTAAAAGGCAGTAACAGCCTGTGAGATTAGATTATGTGTGCAGAGTTGGCCTACAAAATATCGGGTATGTTTGCAACCTAGGTACTTGTTCCAACTTTGGGTGTGATTATAGTACATATGTAACACCTATCAGAAGGGTCATTACAGTAACAAATCAAGAACAGTATTTCTTAGGCTTTTTATAAAACAACAAAACCAACCTAACCAAAATCCCAAACTAAAAGGTGCTTCACAGGAGTATATTAGGGTTTTCCGGAAAAACAGAACCAATAGATCTAAATGTATATATAGATCTATCATAAAGAATTGGCTCACGTGATTACAGAGGAGGCTGGCAAGTCCAAAATCTGCAGAGCTGATGTTCCTCCAGTTTGAGTTTGAAGGCCAAAAGCTGCCATAGAACCAGGAAGAGCCAATGTCACAGTTTGAAGGTCATCAGGCAGGAAGAGCCGATGTTTCAGTTGGAAGGCAGAATTACTTGGGGGAGGATCAGCCCCCAAAGGGCTAAGTTTAGCTATAGCTTGAATGAATTCTCATGCTGTGGTGGCTTTCTTTCCTTTTCCTTTAACTTGTTGAGCTTGAGCCAGAGTCCTGCAGGATGGAACGTGTTCCCCTATCCTTTGAATCCCCGTGTGTCGCTTCTAGCCCACAGAAGTGCACAAATAGCAAGTCGCTGGTGTGTGGAAGCATGTGATTTGCCGGAGTGTGATGTGCTACGCTGCTGGACTCCTTTAACATTTCACAGTATTTGAATGTGGAACTTCATATACCAGTAGTGGCATCTGTTTGCTTTATTACCTCATTTGTTATATATGCCCAACTCCCCAAATAGATAACCACGGTGTCCTGAAGTGAATACAGGAGATCTGGGTTTGACTTCTGCTTCTGCTACTTAAAGTAGTGTGTGTCCTTTCTGAGATTCAGTTTAATCGTCTATAAAATATAAAGACGTTACCTCCAGAACTATTTTAATGATTAACTGTGACAGACTATATATATTCTTCTTAGGGAACTTATATGCAATGTGGGATCCTTCACTGGATCCTGGAATAGAAAAAGGACATCAGTGGTAAAACTGGTATAATCCAAATAAAGTCTGTAGTTTAGTTAATTGTATTGTACCCATGTTGATTTCTTAGTTTTGATAACTGTACTATAGTTATATAAGACCTTAACATTGGGGGATGCTAGGGGAAGGGAATATGGAAATTCTTTATATTATTTTTGCAACTTTTCTGTAAGTGTGAAATTATCTCAAAACAAAGAATTAAATAAATGAATAAGACAGTTGTAGTTACACTGTTGTCTTTTATTTGTTTACAAAGTGCCACATATCCTTGCAGCTCTTTCCACCAGTAGTACCACTGCCAGCCTTCACACTGGGACTAGGCAACACAGTTTCAAATCTGTTCCACACATACCATCTCATGAAATCCTCAGCAATCCTTCAAGACAGTATTCCCATTTCACAGTTGATGAAACAGGCTCAGAGAGGGAAGGGGCTTGCCTGAGGCTGCCCAGATGCTCTTTCCCTCTCTTGTATAGTCACATCAGAAGCCAGTTGGTGAAAGAAAAACTCAGTCTGCTTAACAAAAATCACACACAAGCCAGTGATACTTTATTATACAAGGAAGTTGGCAAAGGACAGATTCATTTTTGTAAAAGAATCCCCACCTAAGATTCCCAGTGATCCATCTGGTGATACAATCAACTTAATAAAATAATAGCTGATATTTACCAACTGCTTGCAATGGGCCAGAGCCATGCAAATCCCACCATGAAAACAGGAATTTTCATTAGGACCCAGACTTAGAAAAGGCCCAGCTTCAAAGATTCTGACTTGCATAGGCTGAGGACTCCCATTTCCAGAATTTCAAAAACCTCCTTTCTTATCTAAGTGAGAGAAAAGAAAAAAAAGTTTAAGATCAAGAAAAGATGGTCTTGGTGAATAAATTCAACCATCTGGAGTCCCTGGTATTTATGCAGCTATTATGGCCAGAATCAGGAAGAGCAAAACCTGCATTTTATTCAGAGTTGAAATATTTACGTAAGTAAAGGAAGCGGTACTATATAAGACATCGATTTCATTAAGATGTCCTTTTGTTTGTACAACATTCAACATAAAATCTCATAGAAAAATCTTTTTCAAGATATCCAAACTGTGCCTATAGACTATACACAATATTTTAATGCAGGGTAACTGTTAATAATGACATCATCACAATAAAAATAAGTATGGGTTAAAATGGTTTTTTTGAATACTATTTCTTCCTCATTATTATAATTAGAAAACTAGTGATGGTTTACTCAGGTTTAACATTATAACTGAAATAATCAAATATGACCTCATGTGCCTGACATCAAGTTGGTTAAACTAGTTTTAAAAAACCAGTCAGGGGGGCTTCCCTGGTGGCGCAGTGGTTGAGAGTCCGCCTGCTGATGCAGGGGACAAGGGTTCGTGCCCCGGTCCGGGAAGATCCCACATGCCGCAGAGCAGCTGGGCCCGTGAGCCATGGCCGCTGAGCCTGCGTGTCCAGAGCCTGTGCTCCGCAGCGGGAGAGGCCACAACAGTGAGATGCCCGCGTACAGCCAAAAAAAAAAAAAAAAAAAAAAAAACACTAGTCAGGGGACTTCCCTGGTGGTGCAGTGGTTAAGAATCCGCCTGCTAATGCAGGGACATGGGTTTGAGCCCTGGTCTGGGAAGATCCCACATGTTGCGGAGCAACTGGGCCCATGCACCACAACTACTGAGCCCGCAAGCCACAACTACTGAGCACTTGTGCCACAACTACTTTAGCCCGTGCACCTAGAGCCCGTGCTCCACAAGAGAAGCCACTGCAATGAGAAGCCCACGCACCGCAACAAAGAGTAGCCCCCGCTCGCTGCAACTAGAGAAAGCCCGTGGGCAGCAACGAAGACCCAACGCAGCCAAAAATAAATAAATTAATTAAAAAAAAAAGAAAAACAGTTCAGGAGACTGTGTATGTGTGTGTGCAGGGAAGTGAGAAAATGGTTTTTAGCTTAACTCGCCAGTCAATTACAATCAGGTTTGGTCATTCTGAGGATATAGTTTTATATAGTAAATTAATTCATTCAACATGTTTGGAGGAATGATTGCAAGCTTCTTTGATAGTTACTGCCGTGATTTATTTCTGGTTGGTGACTGGCAGCCATGTTTATTACTGCACAACCCAATTCTCTCCAATAGCTACTTCTAAGCATCAGGCTAGATGGAAAGATTAGTCACATGATAACATGGTGGGTGGCAAATCAATTTTAATTTTTTTTTTTTTTTTTTGGTAGGCGGGCCTCTCACTGCTGTGGCCTCTCCCGTTGCGGAGCACAGGCTCCGGACGCGCAGGCTCAGTGGCCATAGCTCATGGGCCTAGCCGCTCCGCGGCATGTGGGATCTTCCTGGACCGGGGCACAAACCCGTGTCCCCTGCATTGGCAGGCGGACTCTCAACCACTGTGCCACCAGGTAAGTCCCTCAATTTTTCACATTATGATGATAATGGATTACTTTCATAAATATATAATGAGCTAATGCCGTTCCTATTCAGTATTCAATCGGTTTTAATCCATTGAGACATCAAAAAAATTTCCCCACTCCCCAAAACCAAAATAGCCCTCTAATTTAAGTAAGTGGGTTTTTGGGTACGTGGAGATGCAGGCAATGAGGCAAGTTTGTGCTCCCCCACCTCCAAGTACATTTATAAGGATGAAAAGGCAAAGACGACTGTGTCTCTAAAACAAGGCACAGGGAAATATGCCAAGTCCTCTAGATCTTCCTGTTTCTCAAAGATGCAGTATAGATGTGGTCCCCAGTGGGGCAGAGGCCACTGGTCATTTAATGAAGAAAAAAAGTTGATTCCTATAAAACACATGGAAAGGATACAGTTATGTGTAAGGGATGAGATGGCCTCTATAATTGTAGTTACTTCAGAGTTAAAAGAAATCATATCAAAGGCCAGAATGTGCTGGTCCCCCATGTCAAAGACTTTATTGCTGTGTTTGAACTCAAGTTCAGATTGAAAAAAAAAAAAAGATTAAAGGCAATTGCTGGATTGCTAGTTACATGGTACCTCGGGAATGTCCATCATCCTTCTCAACTTCTGATCTCTCCAATTCCAGTCAAAAACCAGAAACTTTAAGGGGTTCAAATTAAGGCCACCTGAAAGAGACAGGGAGAGAGTTGCTACATTAAAGAACTTATGGCATAAGCTTATTAAAATGATTTTTTATTCCTCTGGTTGCTTTTTTGCCTCATTTGCTCTTTTCTCCCCTAGCAACTAATCTCTGCACGTTAAGTGCTGCCCCTGTCTGATGGAAAACAAATGCAGCGCTCAGAGACTTACTCTCCTTACAATCTTATCACTGATTCTCAGGGAAGCAGGGAAGCTGCTCTTGCTAAGCTCGTGAAATGCTCAAGTTCTGGCAAAGAATCAATCCCAAGCCTCCATTTCATGAAGCCCCAGAGGGTAAAGTGTCATTCCCGACAGGGATTTGATAAGACATATCCTGCAGTTTGGGATAGTGACCCTTCAGAGGAGTTGAGTCCAACAGAGTCTGCATGACTCTGAAGAGGTGAGTCGGCAGAAGGATGAGGACAGGGTTGGGAGGTTAATTTCAGGCAAAAAAGAAAGTTAAGATGAATGGGCTCTATTCAAAGCCTGCTATCCTTTGAGCAGACTGGTAAACCACTTGACTCATTCCTGC